GCTCAATATATGCATGCTCCATGTGAACAACATTGGATAGCCGTGAAACGCATTCTTCGCTATCTCAGTGGGACTCTTGGTTATGGATTACTCTTTAGCAAGACTAGCATCGGTCTTCAACTTGAAGCCTTTGCCGATGCCGACTGGGCAAGCAGTATTGATGATCGTCATTCTATATCTGGCTTCTGTGTGTTCCTTGGGGCAAATCCTGTTTCTTGATCATCCAAACGTCAACACTCGATCTCTCATTCCATCACTGAAGCTGAGTATCGTGGGATTGCTGAAGCTGTTGCTGAAGTTGTGTGGCTCAAGACCTTATCGACAGATATGGGAATTGCGTGCTCTAGTCAATCTATTATTTGGAAAGACAACACAAGTACCATAGCTATGAACATCAATCCTGTGTTTCAGTCACGTTCAAATCATGTTGAGCTGGATCTCCATTTCATTCGGGAGAAGATCGTTGCTGGTGTTGTTAGTGTCAATTATGTTCCTGCTCAGCATCGATACGCTGAAGGTTTAACCAAACCATCGTCAAGGGCTTATTTCTTCATGTTTCGCGACAAATTACATGTCTCGGGGGAGCTGTTGAAACCGTGGAGAATAGGGAGCATGTTAGCTATTAGATAATTCAAAAGCTGTTAGTTAAGAGATAATGTTAGCTATTAGATAATGTTTTGAATTTCAATTTCAAAAGTTGTTAGTTAATAGATAATGTTAGATAGGTTTGTAGCCAACTAGGGCTCTTCCATTAAGTTCCCTGTACGAGTATAAAAAGAGTTTTTGATGGAATAAAAATCAAGACACTTATTACGTTACAACAACGATAATGTTCAACAGAAACATAATCATGATCAAATATTAGAAGGATAAGATATTTAATTTTAAAATAATAATGAATTATCATATATTTAATTTTAAGGTACAAAAATACAATTTTACTTAAATTTAAGTTGATAAGGATAAAAAATGATATTAAACTAAAAATTTTGGGAGGGGTAAGAGCCCCTCCCACTCCCTATATAACTCCAGTTCTGTTCGTCAGGTTTGTAATTGACCAGCATAATTTTAGTCTTGTGATAAGCCTACGGGGCCAAATCACCCCAATAATGAAGTGGAAAAGTAATATTTCTCAACTAATGACTATCGGACTATATTTTCTAAAGTAGAGTGGTCTCTATAATGCGTTGGGAAGACGTCGAAATTATAGGATAATTTTAGAGAAAATGACCAAATGACATGACGTCTTCTACATAACGGCAGGTTCTCTTCTGTTCACGTTCTTGATCTCACATAGACGACTCCGGTTCTTTTCCTATTACGTGAACTGAGCACAGGAGAAGCTTACAGGAAAGGAGATCTCACTCTTTTCGTTACCAGTCGGGAAGATTGGAAGACCCATATTATCCGGTCGTTTTCCTAGAAGACATCATGTCATTCGATCGTCTTCCTATAAGAGATACCATATCATCCGGCCTTCTTCCTAGAAGATTCCAGGTCATCCAGCAGTCCTCCCCGAACATAACTATTAACCTAGTTCAAAAAATAATATTCAAATCAGCCTACGGAGTATGTAGTGCAGTTTTTATTGTTTAAGTGGTTAAAGCATTGCTCTTCTTTTAAATAGTTATCTTTCTTAGGAATTTAAAACTTACATATATATATATCATACCGACATAATTAATCGGGTATTGACTGATTCTAATTTTCTGCAGCAAGGAGACAATGCCGGTGGAATATCAGTCAATAGAAAGAGGGTGGACAAAGGCCTTTCACAACTAAAGGTTAGAATATCCGGGTTTATGTTTCATTTTTCATGTGATGATGATGATACATATACATATACTTATGAACACTTAAGATGAAGCAAGTTCTATACTATAACTCATTTGAAAATCGTAAGGAGTTAGCTTTTATATCATGGAGTTTCTGCAGATTGAAGTTGTTGATCTAGTTTCTGAAGAGTCTAGCCAATGTAAGCTAAGCTCAACTACATTTAGGAAGCTCGATTGAGGCCGAGAAAGCTAATAAACAGCAAGGGTGAGCATTATGTCGTAACCGGTTTTTGCCCGGGCACGAAATATTTATTTGGCGGGAAAAATAATGTGGATAAAAAAATCATTTTGAAAAAAATATTTTGGGAGTCGTCATCGGCCTTTTGGGTTAGGTAGGTCGAATACCTAAAAATTATCTTTTAAAAGAGTTTTTAAGAAAACATCAGTTAAAAGATAAATTGATCTGCGTTTAACCAAAAAATTCGTTCTTTTTAGAAATAAAAAGGGATTCGTGGTCGGTTACGTTTAGGGAAGGATTAGCACCCCTACAACGCCCAAAATTGATACTTATTTATTATAAATTGTCTCTATTATTGGAAATTTAAAAGTTTAAAAATATATTTAATTCATAATTCTGTTAAGTTTATTAATATAATTTTAAGATAATATATTAATATATATATTTTATTAAACAAGATATTTATTTATTTAGAAATATCAGAAAAGGGTTTATAGGTGTTTTAAGACAACTCCTTTCTTAATATTAATAAAAATATAAAAACAGATTTATGTATTAAAAATATTTATTTATTTTTATTTAAAAATATCATAAAATGGACATCCAGTTGCTTTAAGACTTTCATTTCTTAATATTGATAAATATATATTAAAATATGATTGAAATGATTTAAAAATAATATATTATATTTATAAATAGGATTTTCATAAAATAAATAAATATTATTTATATATATTTATAAGACTTAGATAAATATTATTTATATATATATATTGACATAAATAATAAATAGTAATAGTAATGATAAATATATATATAATCATAAATATATGAAAGTAAAATATGATTAATAAAATTAAAACATAGTATTAAAATGTAAAAAGTAATAAAGTTTGTAAAATAAATGAAAATATTAATCTTAGGGACTAAATATGCTATTTTAAAACTACAGGGATTAGATATGCTATTTTATCAATTTATTAATTTAGGGACGAAAATAAAATTATATAAAACATCAGGTATTAAATGTAAAATATTAAAATTCGCAGACCTAATTTGAATTATTAAAAATATATGTATTAATAGTGTAGTTTGACCTAATTAATTACTAGATGATTAAAATAAATATTAATTAAATTATGAAGGACTAAAATGGGTACTTACCCTAATATATATATTTATATACTGGTATGGACTAAAACATAATAAAATAAAATTCAAATACTGAATTAAAATATATGGAAGTTTATTGTAGTGACTAAATTATAATAAACACAAAATTTAAATAACGAATTAAAAGGCATAAAAGTTAATTTCAGTGACTAAAATGAATTGTTTACAAAACCTAAAGGGCCGCGGAAAGGGTTTGTCCAGTGGTAAAATTACGGATATAGCCCTCCCCAAAACAACGTCGTTCGGGGAGGGGTTTTTAAGCCCAAAAACCGGCCCTTCAGGCCATTCTCCTCATTCTCTTCTTTCCCTATTCTCTCTCTAAAATGAGAGAACCAGAGTTCTCTCTGGCTTCTCTCTACATTTCTCCCGTCGGAGAGAACTCAGTCCCGGTCGGCCACCGCTAACACCACCTCTGGCCACCGTGAATGGTGGCCGGAATATTTAAAATCACCCCAAAATTTCTCTCTTTTCCACCAAAACCTAGATCTAACCTCTTTTAAGCCTAAAACCCTCTCAAAATCGATAGATCTAAGCTATAACCGAAGGATTTACCTCGGTTTATATAAGGTTTTCCGGCGGCGTTTGGGTTCTTCGAAGGTATGCAGCTCTTTTTCCTTTTCTTTTTTCGAATGATTGTTTGTTGTTTGGTTGCTCTTTTCCTTTTTGTTGCTCTCGTATCTCCCTTTCCTTTTGGTTTCTGGTCTCTGTTGCTTGTTGTCCGTGTCCCTTTTTGTTTTGCAGGTGTGGTGGCTTTTATAGCCACCACCGAGCTCGCCTTGGACCGGATAATAGAGATCTTGGCTGTGAGTCACCAAGCTATGGTGGTGACTCACCATAGGGCTTCGACGTGGGGCTGCTTCTGGAGTATTTAGCGAGGCGGCGGCGTGGTGGCATCATCGGAGTGGAGCACCTGGCAGTGGCGTGGCCTTGGCAGCGGCGTCTGGAAGCTGGAGAGGCGGCTGGAGTCTTCTGGAAGAAGCGGCGGCTGGGACGTGGCCCTAGGGTTATGATATCCTAGGATTTCTTTGCTGGACTGCATAAGGGTCGTTGGATCAGATTAGATCCAACGGTTGAGGATCTTCGGCGGCTGGGTGTTGGGATAGAAACCCTAATTAGGTTTAGGGTTATAATTGGGCTATCCGGGTTTTGGTTTGTAAATGGGCCGTGATTTCGGTTCCGGGATTTGTATCTGGGCTTCAGTTTTGGGTTTTGTAATATTTAATAAATAATATAATAATAATAATAATAATAATAATAATTTTAATAATAATAATAAATTTAAATTTAAAATGGAAAAATTGATGTCTACACATTATAAGCGAGACTGAAAGCGTCGAGGAATGTGATGTGGAGAAGGTCGCGAAACCTTCATGCAATCATCTTATACATGGCCTACGTATTGGATGATGATTTTGTTGATGGATTTAAGGAGGATCCACCAATATGAGGTGCTCAGTTAATTGCTAATGATCATCACTGATATTCAAGGAAAAACATTCATCTTAAATCAAGTATTTCATTATAAAATCTTTTTTCTTTAATAATTTGTATTTACAAGATAATATATATGTTTAAAATTTTCTTAGTTTGTGACAACGTATAGAAGCGAATATTGTTGATATGATTTTGTCTCTAAACTACTACTAAGAATTGAAATTAATGCAAAAGAAAGAAGGGACAAATTTTGAAACGATAATAATAAAATGGATTCAAATATTACAAAAAGATTGTCGATATTTACCAATTGCAACCCCTAACAAACCACCCCAAGCAAATGTCCTTGCCCCCTGGCCTGGCCTCCAAGTAGGAAACAGAACAATGTGTTATTTGCAGTTGGGAAACAGAGATTGTCAAATTTCTAGCCCTACGACTCTGAACCTGTATTAGGCTCATCTAAAGCTGAAGACGCCATTCTAAAAGAACCGCTCAAAGTTAGTTCAGGACTTATCACACTAGCATTTAAGAACGGAGGCTGTTTTGGTCGAGGAAGTCTATAATTCGCATTCGTTAGCATTTGAACAACGTCCGACATCGACGGTCGTATTGCGACCGAAGGTTGGGTGCACAACAGCCCAACTAGAAGTGCGGTTGACGCTTCCTTCTCGTCGAACTTGGCGTCTAAGTTGGAGTCGATAGCTTCTGTGATGTTACTTGCCTTGTATTGCTTCCAGACCTGGTGGGAAAAACACAGTCCATTTGTTGTATTGTTTAACATTAACATGTACGTTCAAGGCTTTAGTATGTGAGAATAATGGACATCTCACCCTGTACAAAACTGAACTCGAACCCTCCGAGAAGATACTGTTTTTCTGACCGGTTGAAATCTCGATAACTAGCACCCCGAAAGCGTAGACGTCTGCCTTATCTGTTAGTTGTCCTCGTACGAGGTATTCCGGTGCCATGTATCCTCTGCAACACACAATTGTTTTCATATTTGTACTGACTAGAAAGAATGTCACTGTGATTTTGGCATGTCATCGAAATCGAATATCTTACAGTGTCCCTGCAATTGCGGTACTGACATGGGATTTATCCGAAGCAACGCAACGAGCGAGTCCAAAATCAGCAATCTTTGGACAGAGATTCTCATCGAGGAGAATGTTGCTGACTTTTATGTCTCTGTGAAGGATTTTCACTTGAGAACCTCCATGAAGATATGCCAGACCTTCTGCTACACCACATATGATGTTGAACCTCTGTGACCAGTTTAGAATTTTTGTGTTGTTCTTTGCTGCATCAAGTGATAACAACAGTAAGACATCTACGAAAACGAATCGTCGTTAATATGATCATAAGAAATTTAAAGTTTACCGAAAAGGATTTTATCTAAGCTCAAATTCGGCACATATTCGTAAACCAGAAGACTCTCTGGTCCTTCGATGCTGCATCCCAAAAGCCTTACAAGGTTCTTGTGTTGAATGCCACTGATCAAAGTCACTTCATTGAAGAACTGATCCACCCACTGCCGTGTATTGAAGAACAATCTCTTGACTGCAACAGCTTCAGAATTAGGTAGAATTCCTTTGAAAACCGAGCCTGCTCCTCCTTGGCCTAATTTCCTCGATTCGTCGAAAAAATCGGTCGCTCTTTCAAGCATTTCATACTTGAAATTTAGACTTGTCTTGTTTCCGGGGTGCGGAACATCCTCTAGGTCGATTACCCCTAAGACAAGTAAACAGAAAATAGTATAAAAAACCAGAAACATGGTTCAATCATGTTACAAATGCTAGTGTGTGTGTACACACACACATACACACCTTGTTTCGTTTTGGATAATTTCTTGTAGCTTACTAAAGCAACAATGACAGAAAGAACAAGGAATGAAATCCCAGATAAAGCCATTCCAAACGTGACCCAATTTATAAACCCTGTAAAACCCAATTACAAAGAATCATGATCCAACATGAAGAAGAACATCCATAGATGAAGATGAAAATTTCGACAACTTAAAGGGCAACTCGGTTTTTACCCTTTTCGTCCTCTGTCTTCGAATCATTATTAAAGAATCTATTGGTTGAATACCTCATGTAACACCCTGTGTACAAAGCCCTGCCTTCTGCTCCGGGGCCACACTTCCTCAGCCGCATCCCAGCATCGGTCAAGCACTGTTTACAAGCACTGCGATTGATCGTTTTCCAACACTGTGCCAATGCATAAACGGTAACCACCCCGCCTTTCGCCTCCGTTACCCCGAACCTACTCTTTCCCATGGCCTCCTCTTTCACTTCGGTAATCACATGATCCAATTTGCTTTGAAAATCCTCGCGCATGTACGTGTCGTTGAAATCGCCCATAGGCGAGCCGCATTTGACGTAATCGTAGTTCGGATCGACCCCTTCATCGTAAAACTGATAATGATCGAAACGATGAAAGCATTGATCGAGATGGATCCGAGCAGACCTGGCAGGAATGCAGCGTTTGAGTTGTTCCCCGGATGATTTGAAACACCGTTCACAATCGAGCGGAGTCACATCCTTGTAACATTGCGCAAATCCAAACACATTAAACTGTTGGTCTTTCTTCAAGACGGTTCCCCATTTCCGGGAAGAAACGAGCGGGGACAAAGATTCCATGGCTTTATCGACGTCGTGAGCGAAGTTGTTCGAGGTTTGGTTGTCACTCCCACAGATAACGCGGCCTTCAAAGGACAAACAAGGGACAAAAAAACACGAACATAATACGAAGAACATCCATGTTGTTATGCTCCAAGGATATGGCATCGAATTGTGTCCCTTGTCTCTTTTGTTTTTCAATAAAAACAAGAAAAGATGAGATTTTCCATGAAAGTTTTCTTCTTCTTCTTCTTCTTCTTCTCTCCTACCCTTCGCCCTTTGTTGGGGTTGGAGATGGAGAGAGGAGGATTTGAAGGTCAGGGCAATAGGGAGGAAACAAAATGAAGACTTTGGCTGTACGAGGTTGGATGTCAGGTTCTTTTGCAGGCATAATGGAAGGTTGGGTTTGTTTGTTTGTTGTCTTTATTGAGTCAGATGAAGCATGAAAGAAAAATGGTAGAAATAAACTGAATTTTGTTTCTCTTTGCTGTATTAAGGTCATTTCTAGATAACTGATTCATGGCATTTCATTGTATGCCTTACACGCTTACGTTTGAATTCGATATCTGCGTTCGGTGCCCGTTCATTAAATTGTGCAAGAATTTGGTAATTTTGAAATTTGCCCACCATGGAATTATTTTGAAGAAATCTTTAGTTTTTATTTAAAAAAAAGAATAATTTATTTCAATATTTACATTTTTTCATAAAGAACTAAGTACTATCTCAAATGAATTAATTTTCAATATTTTTATAGATGGGGAGGAACGCTTATGTTATTTCACATGAAAGGTTTTATCTTTAAATTTAAAATAGATTATTAAATAAATTCTTAATTTTTGTATTAATCTAAAATATGTTAACTAAGCACGAATCGAACTATCCAATAATTAAAGAAATGATTGTTATTTTTAGAGATATCATGTTCAAACACCAACAACTACAACATGGATGATTGAGTGTTCATTATCAAATGTTAAGGGTATTTAAAACAAATATTATTTTGTAATCACCATAGTTTAATCGAAAAAAATATATTAAATGTATATAAACAAAAAGAATTTTTATCTTTCAAAATAAAAATTATATTTTTTTATATTTTAATTACAATTTACTCTATTGATGAATATATATTTTCAATGGATCAAATTAATATTAAAAAGTGCATTTATAATTTTTGAGTTTTGAAACAATATGTGTTTAATAAGGTAATAATTTTAGATGTTGTGAGTGTATTAATAATTTCTCAATCATAATTACTCCCAAACTAATTTTTGATTTCGTGGATCGAAAGTTATTGTTGTAACAAGTTTAACTTGAAAATTAAATCTTGAATCAAACATAAATTGCCTGACGCTCTCAATGTTGACGTTGACGTCGACGTCTTCAACAGTGGTTTCCATTGTCCTATCGGCCTTTCTTAGTGGCAATCAGGGACTAAATCAGGACTTTTTGTTTGAGGGTAAAGTATAATTTTTTTTAAAATTAGAAAAGTAATTTTATAATTATCTTATAAATATTTAAATTATATATATAAATTAAATGTAAAAAAATAAATTTGTTAGGTTGGGGGGGCCACAGCCCCTCCCACTCCCTTAGTAGTTTCGTCCCTGGTGGCAGGATTATACCTAGCATGTGATGCAGGTTTTCCCCATTTTTCAGTTTTGGGTTCTTCTCTGTTACTTAGTATTTTGAGTACTGTTTTTGACAAGCGTTGAATTTATCAAATAAAAATAATTATTAGTTTTTAAATAAATAAATAAAATAATATATAAAAATATGGTCGATCATAAAGACTAAGAAAATTTGTTAATATTGTTCCTCAGATTGAATCAATTGTAAGACAAATAAAAAGAGGATTTAAAATTAATGAAAATAAATGAATAAAATAAATAAATAAATATTTAATAAATAATAATAATGAGAAAATAAATAAAGTAGAAGAATTCAATAAAGATGATATAACCTCAAGTTTTGCTTGCCTCAATTTTGATCGATCATCGAAATAAATTTTTTCCTTCGTGATGTATGTCGATTACAGTCAAGAAGGTCCAACCCCTACAGCTAACTCTTCTCTTCGGTTAATCAAAATTTTCAAATCTATCTCCGAAATCCAATCTTTGTTGGTCTAGCCACATCTATGGTCGTTAGATTCAAAATAACTTTAAATTTAAAAAAAGGTTTGAATCTAGTTATAGCGTCTAACCGAGAATCAAACTCGATCTTGATTCCCCTTAACGGACTCCCGCTAAGTTGTTCACAGGAAGTCGAATTACGACCAACCAATCCGACTTCCAAACTTCAAGCAAATTAGTCTTCAAATTAACGTACACCTTTTGAGTTGAAGATGTAATAACTTTTAAGAGAATGACCGAATTTCCTCCTTCAAGATTCAATTCAGGAATGGAATTAAGTTTCGCAAAAACCTTTGGCAAAGTAGAAGTTTAGTCAAACATGGATAGAATCATACTTAGCATTGTGAAAAGAAAACAATAAAAGAAAATAATGAAAGAAAGTAAAGAAAGAAAGATGTAGATGAAAGAAAAGTAGAAATTCAATAAATAACCAAAAAAAATTCCAATATGAGTTTCAACTATTGAACCTAAGGGGTATATATAACCCGATAGTTCTAAGCAAATAAAATAACTAATTCTTAAAATAATCAAATTAAAAATCCTAATAAGATTTTAATAAAATAACTAAGTTTTAAATAAAATAATAATAGAACAATCAAACTAAAAATCCTAAATTAAAAAGGTTTATTACAAATTCTTATATCTTATGGATAACATTGTCCTATATAAATTCTAAATTAAATATTCAATGAAACTTTGCTTGTCTTCTATAAGATGTTGAATGGACCGTCGAAATCTACTAATTTTTAGGCTAGTTAATCCAATGAAATTTTTGTCCAAAATAAATTCAAAATAAAAATAAATCAGTAATATCCAAGCGATAAATGAGAGGTAAATAATAATAAACTCTCCTTAGGTCTTCTTCTGGGTTGTTGACCGTGTCTTGTCCTTCGTTTCCTTGTTCGTGGTTCTTGGTCATAGACCCTTTTAGTTATGTTGTTCGGCTTCCTTTGGACTTCTCTCACGTCGTTTGGTTTTTCGATCATTAGATTTGATGTTTGGCGGTCAGAAGTTTTTTCTTTTGGTAACTACTTCATCGAGGTTCAGATGATTACTTGACCATTGCACGTCTGTTGCAATCGATTTTTGGGTGAAAATTTGATTATCGACAATTTTGAAAATGGTTTAAAAAAATTGGGAGTCGTCATCAATCATTTTTAAGGTGCGCTTGAAACACCTTAAATGAGGTAATTTAATAAAACATTTTTATTTTATAAAAAAATGCCCAATTTTGGTATGCGAAATCAGAAATCAAGTTCGAGATTCGATTACGCGTGGGAAATGATTAACAACTCTACAATGCTCAAAATTGGTACCTAGTTAATTACCTTATATTTTAATATTGAAAATGTTGAGTTCAAAATTTTATTTATGTATGTAAAATTTTAAAAAGGATGTTGATTTACCAATACCAATAACTACCACCCCGATGAACAAGCGGAAGTTTTATTATCGATCTCAATAAATGAACATTGTCTTAGTTAAAAGATATGATCAGGAGTTTAAAAAGGATCTCGATTTACTTTGGGGATTACTAGTGGTTACCCCCAAGCAATGGCAGATGATGCACTATTAATCGCCTAATAAATTAACATTGCCTTGATTTTAAAATCAAATGCAATCGTACAATTTATTATTAAACCTAATTACACTAAATGGATTAATTAAAGCATTTCTCTAACTTAAAGTGTCAAATGTTGAAATTTAAAGAACTTAAGGGACTAAACCTAAAAATGTAGACTCTAATATTACTCATAATTTATTTTAATCAATTATTGGATCAAATAATTAAAATGCACCATCGAGCATTAATGCGAGGACCAAATCAAAATTCTTCTAAATTAAAGGACTAAAAAGGTTAAATTAATCTAAAATGTAGGTTTTAATTATTAATCCTATTTAATTATTTCAATCAAATAAATAATTTGGAACCTCGGGGATTAATGTGAGGATCAAATCAAATTACTCACCTAATTTAGAAGTTTAGGGACTAAATTATAAAGAATCTACATTTAAGGAATAAACCTAAAACCTAAAAAAGGAGTAAGGACTAAACTAAAGAGTATATTAAATAAGGCATGAATTAAAATAAATACTAAAATATATACGTAGTAATTTAAATGACTAAATTTAAAGAGTACAATAAATTAAATGGCATAAGTTTAAAAAATAATAATAAACATAAATAAAAAAGGCATAATGAATCTAATATAATTAAAGGTTGACCGTGAATAATTAACAATTAATAAGTTAAAAGAAAAAAAGAACTAGCAAGTTAGCAAATAGTATGCTAGAGATTAGTGATAAAATTAGTACATGGGCTATAATGCAATAAAACAGAAATTAATGCCAAGCAACAACAAAACTAGGGATGGCAACGGGCCGGGTTCGGGCTTGGTATTGGCCCCCCGTCTCCGTTCCCGTTTAAAAAACTGGTACACGTCCCCGTTTAAAAAACCGCGGGGATTTAAACGGGGATCTCCATCGGGTAATCGGGGAAAACCGCGTGGAAACGGGTATCCCTGTTTAGCATAAACGTTTATTTAAATGGGTATCGGTAGGGTTGTTCATTCGGTTAATTCGGTGGCCGAACCGACCGAACTACCATTAACCGAATTAACCGAATTTTTTTCTTTAACCGTTAACCGAACTAAATTTTTTTTCAAAAATATTAACCGAACCGAATAAATTTCGGTTAATTCAGTTAATTTTTTAATTAACCGAAAGTTTTTAGAATTTTCGAATTTAATACTAGAGAGCAGCTGTTGTTCCATTTGCTAGAGAAGAACGTGATGTTGGTATAGGTCCCGAGGCTGATTTTAATATGGCTAATTCACATGCTTCGCTTTGTCAGAGGAACGTTAAAGCTTGTGTAATGGAGACAGCTTG